GCTGGAGCCCGCGGGACGGAGCAGCGGCGGGCTGAGCGCTGCTATACAGCACCACCTAAGGGCTCTCTATAGGTGCTGCAGCCCAGACGTAAGGACTGCAGCGGCTGCCAGCTAGCCTTCAGGTGCCGGTCACATTCACTGACCTTCCAGCAGTGTCCTCTCATGAAAATTTTCTAAGCAACAGCTTTCTCTGTGAATCACTGTCACTGTTCCATGAAAAATAATCTAGAAAATTAAGTTACTGAGAAGTTGGTTGAGGAATAATTTTCAGAATAAAAAGATCTACCTTTGTCATTTGCAGCAATTCCTTTATCTCTGTTGCAATTTCTTCATATGCAAACAAGGTGGTTTACTACAAACACTTTAGGTTAAGCACAGGAGTGAAAATGTTATGGCTTTTAGATTTAAAAACTAAAACACAAGAGTTGCCTTAATTCTACCCAGCCTGTGCAATATTTAAATCTCTTTCAGCTTATCAATGCAACATTATTTTTAAGTTATATGAGTCTTGTTTGTAAAAATAATTTCATTTGGAGTGATTTTGTGATGCAATCTACATGAGGAAATACCACACTAAGTTGAGGATGCACTTAGTCCAGCCTTAATCTTAAAAAGCAGCCAATAAAGAAAAATCCTTATGAAACCAAAATGAGACAAACTGTCCCACAGAAACGTCCTTGCACTTTAGATGCTTCACAAAGGGATATATGTTCAAAATGTCAGATGAGAGCCATCCAGACTAGATTCATTTACAGGATCCATGCATGTCTCCAGAGCAATGTTTTCTAAGATGAAAGAGTTGGCAGTGTACCAAACAAGATTATTATTATTCCAGTTTCCCTCTGAAATTTCCCGTCTCATTGCATATGGAATTTAACACCCCAAACATGGAAAATTGATTCACCAAATGGGATGAAACCCAGGTGGCCTGTGTTCTAGGACCCCTATTCAATCCCACTTAGGCACCTGCTCAAATGCCACTCTTTCCTGATGCCATGGTATGGACAAACGGCAGCAGCATTTCTAATGTGAGCAAGTGCACAGCAAGGAATTGTGTGCGATGGGAATGGGTGTATGGAGCAGTGTCGGCAGCTGACCTGAAAGCCACGTGCATCCTGCAAGACATGAAACTGGGACTTCCCTATTCAACATGTCATAATTCAGAATACGTGATTAATCTCGGTACAGAAATAAAACACTCAGTGGCTTCTAGTTGTGCTAGTGCTGTACAGTGGGCACAGTCTGCCTGGTTGTTGCAGATGTAGAAACGACGGCACTAAAGGGTCTCACAGCAAAGACACTTTTCCGCTTACAATGGAATGCCACATTCTAATGGATAGCTAAAAGGTAAAGTGTGACAATATTTTAATTATCTGAAGTTTGAATCATTAATTTTCAAATCTACTCAGGTTCTATTGCCACCGCACACAGAAAGAACCAGTCAGGTATTCTGCATCGCACCACTTATAAACAACAAAAAAGTTTTTTGCTTTTACTGAAATTGTTTTTAAAAGATTTTGACCTAAGTTCTCTCCTCCTGTAAATCAGAAGAACGTGACTTCAGCTACTTGTTTTGAATCCTGCAGATATCAAATAGTAGCAGCTGTTGTTCACTGCAGACAGACAAATCGTATTCACAGCTCAAAAAAAAAAGAAATCCTGTTTTGGTGAACAAAATTTGCTTTGTTCAACAAGCAAGAGCATGGAAAGTCATTCCTCCTCGTCTTGGATAGCAGTCACGATTTCCAGGTAGATCACTTCGTTAAGATTTGTGCAATTAAGAAAAAAAAAAAATAGTATCAGTATTTGCAATGTAATTCACGTTCCAGTTTGCTGTTTATTTTTCTTGATTGAGCTCTGCCAGATCCCATACGCTTGTCATACTTTTGACATGCTACATAGGAGAGAAATCAGTTTCTTGTGTGGCTGCCTTTTCTGGAATGCGTATCTCCTCAGTTATGAAATTACAGCAATATTAGCCCTCTTTGTGAATTTTATGAGACTGGGATAGCTGAACAGCAAAGTTTCTCTTTGAACTTCAGAAGAAAAGGGACACCAGAGCATACCAGGCTTGTAAAACACATGCTGACCTTTAAATATGTTGCCCTGTACTGCTGTTAACAGCTATCAATGAATCCTGAAGCCTGGATAGAGGGGAGAATTCAGTAGTGGAGGTGAGAGGGAAGAAAAGAGAAAACCAGCAGACTGATAAGGCATTATTTTCCACATAACATCCCCAAGCTTACAGATGTCTCGGGATCATAACATTTTTGGCAGAAAAAGGATACAAATACTTAGATGTTTCTTTCTTAGATCTAGAAGACAAGCATCTGAGCAACAGTAAAAGCTCCTAGTCTAAGCTTCTGACATCATAAGGCACGTTAATTGTTGCAGTTTGTGATGTCACTAAAGATCTTTTGTCCAGTTAGACTAACAATTTACAGTTTAGAAGTAAGGTGAAACAGGCAACTCACTCTTTGTACTTATTTTACAGACTTTGATCAGATAAAAAAAAAGTAAAAAAGGGATAACTGGATAATTGTCTTCATATCTACATTTGGTACAGATCCCTAATAATTTTCAAACACATTCAACATTCCTTCTAGTTCAGTTTGTGAAATTCCTCCTAAAAGATGTAAACCTGGAAATTCTTAGCACCCTAATTTCCCTTTCCTCTATAGATTACTTTGCCTACTCCAAAATACTGGGAAAGCTTCCCTGAATAAGAATAATCCTTACTGTGAAGGCTGAAGTCTTTCCCCTGCCATGAGAAGAGGGTCTGACATCACAGCCTGGGAACCAGCTCAGCTCCTTTTCCCCACAAGCGGCAGGATACATCTTAGCACAGTTGGCTTGTCTCTCAGCCTCCCATCCTCCGCACCTTCCTAGGACAGTGCCTGTTTTCCTCTAAGGCTTGATGAGAAAGAAGACTAAAGGGCAAAGGTAACAAAGAGGTCAAGAAGAGACCGTTTCCCTCAGATGCTGCTAACAGACACTGAACAACAGTTTCACACGACTTCAGAAATCCTTGTCTTCTGCTAGTGAGCTCTGTCCAAGCCTGGGTTCACCAAGGTTACAGGAAAAGAAAAGGTTGTACTTTTGTTGATCAACGCTGCTAAGCAACAAGTCATAAAAACTAACCTTACTCTTGTCTTCCGCTGGTTGCAATTAGAGAACTACAAACAGGATCTTTGTGTCATAGATTCAGGGCTGAGAGAAACCTTTACCAGTGTGACTTTGTGATGCTATGGGCCACACGGACAAAGAGAGTATCTTCTCATTATCTGTACATTATGCATCCCCAGCCATTGCAGTCTGCCACAGTGCAGGTCAGCTCAGTCATCTGAAGTTATAAGTCTTTAGGTTATAATAGGTTATACTCTTTAGGTTATTACAGTCACTTTCAATAGCAGAAAAAAAGCAAAAATATTGTTAATCTCTGATTAACCTTATGAATTTCTGAGTAATTTAAAAAGGCATATAACTAAACTAGAGCTTTTTTACGCTACTCTACCAGTGAAAGAGATCTAAATGTAAGAGCAAATGAAGATGTAGTAACTAACATACATCAGGATTTCAATTTGCCATAGTTTTTTTAAGGAAAAATACAGGAATCTTATGCGTTCTGAAAAGTGAATCTTTCAACTTCTTCATTAGAAGTGAACAATCATTTACTCAAACTGCAAAGACTTCTAGCTTTTTCCCACTTAGAGCAATTACCAACAAAACCATCTAGTTCTGAAGAAGTGTCTGCATTAGACTAGTCCCCTGCAACACACAAATCCAAAAGACAGAAAATTGAATTTGTCATTTTTGTAAATCTCACACAGCAAGCACTGTGCATCACATCAGTTTCTGTTGCTTGACAGTGAATTGCAAAACTAATTGTTATGCTCCCATGGCAGAAAAAACAGAGAAAAACAGACCTTCTTGCTCTTCCATAACATACTTTCTCCATAGACTACCATGAACACCAGGTCCTCTTTTCTATGTTCGTTCACCAGCTGAATCATATCTTGGTATGGCAGCAGGCAACAGAATATGTCTATCATACTTCCATTCTAAATGAATACTGTAGTCGCTTATGAGGTTTTAGTTTTCAGATTTTTATTCTCAATCCACAAATGTTATTGATGTTCTAAAATGGGGTGGGTTATTTTTAAATAAACTGTAAGGAATATGACCATGGAGTATCTGAACTAGTTTTTGGAAGAGGAACCCTGTTGCTAGCCAGCCTGTGCACTGTTGATCGTCCAAGTCAAGTTCCAGGGGAACACACTGATTTTCTTTAAATACGTGTTTTATCAACTTCTGTTCAATCATTCTTCAAATGATACATGCTTTAGAATAGTCTAGCAGGAACAGTTACAGAAGCACTAAGCTCTAAATATGGTTCTCATTTTAACTCATGGATAATGTTACTTCCTGACTGTGTATCCAGGTGGGCAGCAATTGAGTACTCTGAGTAAGGAAAAGGTGAAGTTTACACCAGTACAGATCAAGTCAGTAGTTGAATCCTGCCACATTACTTTAAGAAAGAAAACTTTAGGAAGGGAACTGCATAAGGTTAAAAAAAAAAAAAAAGTTCATTTGTATACTTTAGCTTTGCTCAATCCTCATCCATCCCCAAAAATCTCAAGACCCACACAGCCAACACACTACAGATTTCACAAATAAAGAAACAAGGTATGTGAGGAGAACATAAAGACTGAACAAACAAGCATAACAGGAAGTAATGCATTTACAAAAGGCAAGGTCAGATTAGTTATCAAGGAAAAGTTTTCTATTACTTAAAACAGGACATTAGAACAGAACAGTAGTCAAGAAGAGGTCACTGGGTCCTGTCACTGAAAACAGAGAGATTAGATATGAAAGGAGTAAGTCACACTGAGAGCATGAACTTGCTAAGAGCATTTTTTCAACCTTAAGTAACATGGCCGTAAATATACATGGGGCTCAGAGTAAAGACTACTGAACTGTAACCCTTACACTGTACTGACCTGTTTCAGAGTCCGGGGTAAATCACTTGATCTCACCACACTTGTTTTTCCAGCTGTGAAACACCAGCATCATCTATTACACAGGAACCTGGGGAAAAGTTTCATGCTTACATACAACTGCAAGACTTTGTAGAACATGAGTTTGCTTCTTACCTCCCATATCAATTTGTCTAACAGTTTATCATACCTCCAGCTACAAACTTATTCTTGCTATTATTTTCTCATAAAGTAACACTATTTTCTCAAACTGTTCTGCAGTAGCTGTGGTTTTAAATGTTAACATGAGAGCAATTTAATGACTCCAGAAACTAAGATTCTGTCAACATCCTACTCAACGGATTTGTTTACTAACTTTTTTCAGAAGCCTGTTTACTTGAACAACAATATTTTAATGCATTTTAAACCCACAGAGCTAGAAATTATGAGTTGAAATGCTCTTCCCTATCTTGGGAAATACTGACTTGTTTACTAAATTGTAGCCTACCCGTTAAAGCTATGTCGTTGTTCTTAAGACAATGCATTTCCCCAGCCTGTGAGGACATAAACAAAACTGCATAATTAACTGAACGTCAACTGACTCCAAAACATGTCACAGTAAAATTTTACAAACTATAAAACAAACAATTTGATTCTGACATGTGAGGCTCAGTTCATCATTTGCACAGTACAGCTTTTCAATTTGGTCAGGGAATCACTTAAAAACAAAGCAGGAACCCTTACCTATCGTGCCATTTCCAAAGACCCTTTTCAGTGTATTTCTGTGTGCCGAAGCATGAGGCACAAATGAACACATAAAGAAAGTAAACCTAATTTTCATTTAATGCTATATTTTAAGAGGAAAATGCAATTGAATGAAAAATAGAACTTGCTTAAGCCATTGTGCTATCTTGTGCTAAGAGTTCATAAGTAAATTAACAATACTTTAAAAGAAGCAACAAAACAAAAAAATAATGATGGCCCACAGCTTGAGCAGATCAACAGATCTACATCCAGAAAACAAATACTGAAGAAGTGGTAAAATGCATTCTGCTTGAGCAGCAATCATTTAAACAAAGCTGCAGGTTCCATTTTACTTGCTTGACAGCTGACACATAACAGACAAGGAAAACAGCAGTCCCTGACAAAAGAAAAGGTAGTGACAATAATAAGGGTTTGATCTAATGGATAAGCACAAATGACGTCGCCTCAAAAACTGTCACCTGAAACAAACAGACTATCAAAAAGTTGAGAACTCACCAGTTAAAATGCTGCTGCTCTCATTAATTAATTTTCCATCTGACTGTCATTTCTTCTACCACGTACCGTAAAAATACAGTTAATATTTAAAGCTGAAAGAATATAAGACATTGCTTTTGGTTTGGGGCACTTTCTGTCATATTCAATAGAGACTGTTTAAATAGAAAAGAAACTCTAAGTGCTACATTTTTTTCACAACAACTCAGCGTGGTCATAACAAAGCCACGATGCTTGTGCCACCCCCCACATTCCTTCTGCTACTTCTACGTAACCGATTGCAGCAATCCCAGATTACTCATTTGGGACACAAAGTTTAAGAAACAGGAACAAGGGGGTCAGAGCACTGAAGTTCTGATGATTTAACTGGTGGAAAACCACTACTACCAACTACACCAGTGCAAAATTTCTCAAAGAAATACCCTGGCTGTATGTCCCACAAAACATTACAATGCTCCCTGCTAGTATTCCACTGCAAATATACACGGGGGTCATTGCTTCTAATTACAAAGTATTTTTACTCTGCCTTGCAGTTCACTTTTTACTTTCTGGTCATAATTCCTATTTTTAGAGTAAAAAATATATGAACAATTATACAGACACCATCATACAATGGGAAAAATAACTGAAATGCTAGCATCGAGGATGGAAGTTTCTTCTGCATTGTTTGATTTGTGCCACTTTGACAAACCAAAGGAATTAAAACCTTCAGTATTTTCAACAATCATTCACCTTTCCTGATAGTTGTCAAATTATACCTACACACAGGAATCAAGATTCTGACACACAGAAGTCTAGCAGGAAAAAGTAAACTTTGTTGGGAACACAATATAACAACTGGGACAAGGGGAAGGAAGAGAATAAAAGAAAAAAATATTACTCCAGGGAGAAAAAAAATGAAGTAAGCCAGAAAGAGGATCTAAATAAACCAATTCATGGCTACCCTGGAATTGTCTCAAAAATTCAGACTCACATTGCCAGAACTCAAACATTATGTGAAACACCTACTTCTTAGGAAGCCAAACAGGTGAACCTGAGCTAAAATAAACATTAACACCACCATACCTTTTACGTATGTGTCCAGAAAACCAGAACTGTAAAAATCACTTCCAGTGTTTTGTGGGTTGTTTTTGTTTTGTTCTTTAAGACAATGTAAGGAACAATAAACTAACAAAATCTCCCATTTTACTGTTTTGTCACATCTCCAAAAATCAGCATTCTTTCACTTTACCCTTCATTTAGTAGGTATTAGATGGGCTCTGCTTTCTAGATCATGGCTTCAGAAAATGCTTCTTCCAGATTTGATCTCAAGGGAAATTTAAAAAAAAAAAAAAAAAAAAAAAGTACTTTTGGTTGTAAGCAGTCATGTCTTCAAGAGAGGGGGAAAAAAAAAAAAAAAAAAAACACACACAACTAGACATTGTGTTTGAACCCAAAAAGCTTAAGTCAGATCAGAAAACCTCAAACGATTATTACCAGAGATCAATTTTTCTAGTAATAAGACATTTGCTAATAAAACAGCATGGATGACATCTGTTCCATCTGATGTCTGCGTTTAAAAAAGTTTAATTTTGCATTTGTATTAAAACATCTATTTAGAAACTGGGATGGTTAAAGTTCTCTTCTCCTAGTGTGTAATAACTAACCATAGCTTCCAAACAGGGACCAAACACCACTGTGTTCTATTTATAGGCATACAATTTATTTAAAATTAAGACTGTGGTCAGGTGCTGCCAGGGGGTCCAATGTTCCTGCTGTCACTCAAGGTGAGGAAAGAAAAAGCAATCCATACTGGCAACAGCTGATGCTGTATTAGAATAGAAAGCTGCAGTGTCAACTGCTCTAAAATGGTCCCATAATTGGAATAACACTCTGCACCACTACAAACCTCTCTCCCTCACCCTCCCAAAACCAGTCACAATTTGACACAGGGTTTCTGATCAACAGACACATAGCACGTACAAACAGAATACTTAGAAATGCACTTTGTTAGAATATATAGTAGTCTCTGAGTGAGTGTTTGTCATTATCTTTGCAACTACAAAATCCTACAGTATTTTTTTGCAGACTACTGGATAGGTATTCTATTAATGTCTGCCATAGGAAAACATTTGAATCCACACATAGAAAAACTGTATTTAATGTTCATGTTTACATAAAGCACTTAACAAGAAGAGAGTAAAATATAATACTTAGAGACCATCTTTGAAAGCTTTCAGTAGCAGGTCAGCTGCCAGTCCAGGAGACAAGACACCGCTCAGAACTTTTTCTTCTAGAAGTGGAATCTTATCCTTGACTGCCAAGTGACTCCGGAAATGTTCCAACATATTTTCTTGGATGAGATTCCACATCCACACTTTCTGCTGTTTCCGTCGTTTGGCAATCAACTCGCCACTTGTGAGCATGAGGTCACGAAATTCCATCATTTTATCCCACATATCCGAGATACCTTCTCCAGTTTTGGCAGAGATGCGCATTACCTGTTGGATTTGGAAGAATTTTTAAAGCCAAGTAGCTACTGGGCTTGAGAGTTCAATTACTGCATCAGGTGGATGGCATGAAAATTTAAAAATGTGTAAGGCAAGCTTACTTCAATACACTCACTTCACGAAGCTCCAAGCAGTTTTGTGCTGCCTTTTTTTTTAAAAAAAAGATCTCAAAATTAGGATTCCAACAACCAAAGTAGACAGTGAGATAAATAGTATTTGGGATAAATACACCTTGTCCACTGCTTGTATAATAAATGAAAATGATTTTTAATGAGTCCTTTACCTAAAATGTACAGTGTTGCCATTTCACTTAAATGTAGAATTAATTACATATTCTGGTAGATATATTCTAGTAGCTACTCTTTTCCACTTAAAATATTCCAGAAAGGATGCATTTCGACTATTTTTTGCATTTACTTTTCAGACTAGGAATTCATTTTGCCAGAAATATTTCAGACATCCAACATGATCTTTTAAATGGATCAGGTTTTTTTAAAAGTCTCTCTCTCTTTCCCCAATCTAATGGGTAGGATACAGCCCCTCCACATCAATATTTTCTTCCAGTGGTCTGACACTGCCATCCCTGAGAGACAAACAGATTTCCGATAACCTGTTTAATTCACTGGTCTCAAACAGTTCTTTCAGGTCACGTTTATCAGAGGTGGCCTCTCATCAGATTTAGAAACAGAAATTACAAAATGATGGCTATGCCCCAAGCAGCTGACTTAAACTTCATTCAATGGGTCAATTTTATTATCAGTGTAGAACAAACCTCCTTTTACACATATATAAAGGGAATAAGAGTGTGTGCGTTGCTTATTTTATATACACATATTAAAAATTAGTACTGAATATTTGCCTTAATAATTTATCGTAACCTCTTAATAGATGAAATACCGCATCAAAACTAAAGGCCCACAGGATGAGAATTCCAATAACCTAGGCACTGCATACACAAGCAGATGCATTTCTTGCCCAAGAACTTTTATATGCAAGAAATTAAAAAAAAAAAAAAAAAGAAAAAAGAAATTAAGGAAACACGTGGAAAAGTGAAAGAACATAGATAACCAATAACCATAGGCTTCAGAGTTAAGAGAAATAAAGAGAAATAGCTTATGGGACATTTTAAGATATGCATAGTTTACAAAAAGCAAGACAAGTTTGTACCACTACTGATGTGAGTAATAGGTCTGCTAGTGCTGAGGTTGTAGCTCAGGACAGAAATCATGGGGGGCAGGACTGGCTTTGCACAGTGTTTCATGTGGCACACCTTGAGATCACAAGTGAAACAAACAGCTGCAATCAACTCTCTAGCACAGTGTAAAACTAAACAACAGAACCGAAATTTTTATAAAGGAGCCCAGGGAGACTAGTATAGCTAGATGAGACGGTAACAATCCTAACTCATTCAGCACTTCTTCCGGGGGGGGGGGAAAGAAAAAATGAAACAAAAAACCCAAACACACCAACAAAAACCAAACCAAACCCACACCCAGCCCCGCCCCCACCACCCAAACCATGAAGTACACAAACCTTTGGTCTCCAAACCTTTGAACGTTTGCGAAGCAGCTTCATAGCACTGACATACTCAGCTTGTATTCTCCGTGCAGGCACAACTAAATCGCCATCAGCTTTATTTATAGCAACTAGATCTGCCATCTCAATTATACCCCGTTTGATACCCTAAGTGGAAGATGGAGAGAAATCAGGAATACCCAGGACTGTGACATGCTGATTTATTGCAAAAAGCAGGTCAAAATGCTATGTTAGTTTCTAGTGGCTCTTACTGACTTTTTTGTGTGTGCGTGTGTATGTGCTAGCCCTGCAAGAGGAGTACCAATGGCCTCTGTCATTACTAGTATTACTCTGCTTTGACAAAAAAATACTAGATATGGATATCAGAGTTTACATGATAACGCATTTCATGCATAGAGACTTAAGTTTAACCAAAACCCGATCAACTTTGCAAGTCTATTTATATCGATTTCTGTTTTCCTATAATACAAAGCCACTACCCCAAATCATATATAACTAGTAAACAGGACAAAGTAAGTCAGAGAGTATCAAAGTTTTACATCCTAATACTTTCAAAACCAGGGAGCAGGGGCAGAGGATATCAGATCCTAACTGTGCAATAAAATGATAACACTTAAAAGACTTCAACAGTAACATTGTAATTTACAAAACACTACTGATAGGGACTTTCTGCACAGATACTACATCTTGGACTTAAGTTTCTCTTTCTAGTTCTAGGTAATACTTCATAAGAGAAACTGAAAAATACCTGTAATTCATCTCCACCCGCAGGTGGTAGCAGTAATATAAACATATCAACCATATCAGCCACAGCAAATTCTGACTGTCCCACACCTAAAAAATTAAATCCAGAGTTCACCATTTTATTGCAAACTTTCAGTCACATTAATGACAGCAATTATGACAGATCCCAGTACTGCACCACAAACCAAGCCCACTAACAAAAAAAGACAACAGAAAACACAAGTTTCCACAAAACAGTGTTTTTACAAGACGTACAGGACTAGAAAATTGACAGAATGGGCATTCATTTTCAACCAGTGATCGTGTAAGAAAGCATGAACAAAATCAGGGATGAAAGTGTGCAATGAGTAACACACCTTATTTAGATACTGTAACAGGTTAATTAGAAGAAAACCCTAAGCACGTACCTACTGTTTCCACAAGAACAACATCATAGCCTCCTCCTTCACACAGCAGAATGGCTTCATTCGTGGTCCTTGTTACACCACCCAGCGTCCCTCTGGTTGGAGATGGTCTGATGTATGCGTTCATGTCTCTTGACAACTCAGTCATCCGTGTTTTATCACCCAAGAGAGAACCTTAAATGGTTAATGTTAAATTATTTCAAAAGTGCAAAACAGCTAGGCTTCCCCCTCTCCCCACCCCCAATAAATGAGTGAGGGAAGACAGATCTCTTAGACAAAGTCAGTCAAAAAGAATATCCCAATAACAGTTGCTCAAGACTTTGCTGAGACCTAGGAAGCTACTGCCTGGTTCTTCTGCCTATCCAAAGCTGGAAAGGCCTGACAAGCAGACCTTATTGCCACCAAATACGAAGAATTTGTTCCAGGTCTGAATGAATTCTACAATTTCTGAATGGCTTTTTGAGGCCTATAGAGAGCAAGTCACACAATTAAACTGTTTCTGTTCAAAGGGACAAATCTCTGCCTTATGATTCTAAAACGTCTTGGTAGATTTTTTGTTTTGTTTTTAAGAAAGCTGACACATATCCTTGCCTTCCTTCTTTTCATACAAACTTTAAATCGGATTCAGTGAGATCTACACATGTGATGCAGACTCCAAAAGATGAGATGCTCAGTGCTTTTAGCTGGTACAATCTTGTATATTTTGCTATTCTATTGATGCATCTCAAATGTATGCATTCAAGAATATAGTCTGTCTTAGCTCCAGGTCATTGCAATGCTGAAGGTTTTTTTTATTTTTAAATAGCTACATATTGGAGCATCTTTTCTAACAGTGTAGAAGCTAGAAAAAGGAATGATGTTCCCTAGCAGCTGCCCATTAGAAAAAGATGAAAATCGAGCTTTATTTATGTCAGAGATACCATTAATCAAGCATGGTCAGCCTATAATTTTCCTATAATGTACGATGTGAGAGTGACAGATGACTGCCACACAAATGTGAAGAATTTCAAATTTAGAAAAAAAAAATAAAATCATGCTACAAGTCAGAGAAAAGGTCAACAACACTGCATCAAGAGATCTTGAAACCAGTATACTCAAAAGAAATCCAGAAATTCCTACTGAGCAGAACTAATGAATGTTCTAAAATCCAACCCGATCTACATGTTCGGATTACAGCACCCTCTAAATAGTTTTACATGAGCATATGTTTACTGCCCAGTGATCACCACTACCACTGTCGAAGCTTAAGCAGAAATGCTTTGACATCCCTTCTACACCTTGATTCGCAGGGAAATAAATAAATAAATACAAGTAGAGAGAGAAAACTGGCTATCTAAAGTTTTAAGGCGACATTCGAACACTAGAAGAGAGAAACCTAACAAAATTAGGACACTGATATGCATTTCCCAATTTCATGTCACATTGGGAAAAAATGAAAACTTGATACAACAGTCATTTTTAATATTTTACTTTTATAAGCCCCAAATTTTCCTCCATTTGGCCCAAAGAGATACTCCTAGAGTTGACAAGGTATTAGAAACCTGACTCAAAGTTTAATTCACACTCACCACCACTTGTACTAGAGGAAGGGTCTACAGCCAACACAGACACTTTGTATTTTCTTTCTGTAAGCATTTTCCCAAAGCATTCTATGAAAGTTGATTTCCCAGCACCAGGAGGACCAGACAACCCTAAGCATTGATATTGGGAAGAAAAAAAAAAAACATTTTGTCAATCAAATAAATAATACATCACGAGTACCATGAGCATATAAGGTGGTAACCACTCACACTTTAACACAGTATCACAGCAGAGGCAAATGAAAGCTATGTCACAACAGATACACCCAACTAAGCAGTTGTAACAGACTTGAACTGCACTACCTCGCTTCACCACCCCTCATCCCACCCATACCAACATAATATTGGGTTTCTCCAGCCCTATTTCCTCCCTTCCAAATAAATGTATTTATACTGACTTATCATTCAGAACTTTAAAAATGTTCTATCCTAAATCTGGATTTTTCAGATTTACTGACTATTTTTAATAGAAACACTCTAAAAGCAAAAGCCCTTACCTTGAAGAGCTGTTATTTGAAAAAATGAGACAATTTACTGGTCAAAGCTCACAAACTAAGATTAGCACCAAACATTTCTCACTTCCATCCCCAAGTTCTTGTTCTTACTACATTAGTACATGAGAGATGACAGCTGGGCATGGCATACTTTAGTAGTCCAACTCCTTGCGAGGGAAAAATATTTTATAGTTTCCAAGAGAATTGGGTTCAAGTCTCCTCAGCTGAAAATTAGGCTGCTTTAAAGTAAGACCATAAAAGAAGAAAGTATGTGTTTTCCCTTTTGTTGATTGAAGGATGGAAGTATTCAAGAAAACACCTTCAGGGAAAGGCCAAGTCTACTTAACTACATCCTTCTCTAAGTGTAGATAATAGCTGTATCAGTCTGCAAACTACTTAACGTTTCAGCTTATAACTGTTATGGAAAAAAACCAGTAACACCCCGACAAGAAGCACCCCAATAATTTCTAGAACTTTTTCCAACGCATTTTCCAGCTCAAGTCATAATTCTACTGGACAAGAGAAATTACCTAGATTGGTTACAAACCACAAGAAACCAATGATCCAAGATTACGGCCCATGACACCTAAAGAACAATAGTGATAATGAAAGGTGAGGACTGTAATTTCGTCAAAGCAACTACTGGACAGACATAAAAGGACTAACCCACTCTAAAGGCAAGTGGCTTTCCTTGATTTAACTTTTCTTGTTCCCTGTGGTAGGATAATACCTTCTGAAGGAGCACCTGAGCTATTTTCTTCTTCCTACTCTGAGTCGATTCTACAAGTGTAATGGCTTCTGCTAAACAGGCTCTATGACCCTGGATTAGTCCATTGTAAAGTCTGTCTACAAGTCTTTGTTCTCTGTCAGAAAGTCCCTCTATTTGCTGGTCAGAGGCCACCTGGTGACACAGCTCTCTCCTCAAACTCTTCCACGAACATGTCCATTTTGTACGATAGAGGTGCACTGGATCTGCTCTGGAAGCGAAGTGAAAGTTCATGAAGTAATTTCTTCTAGAGAAATAACAATGAGGGAATCTCAGAAGCAAAGAGGGGATCTTCATCTTGTTTGAGATTATAAATACCGGGGGTATCAGTTCACTTCTGTTTGCAGACAATCTAAAGAGAAAGAAAGACGTTTTTACTTCTTTCAAAGCACTTGTAAGGACTCAAGTGAAACCTATGTACATAGGCGAGCATCAGTTTTTATTTTACCCATACCTATTGTTTTAAACAAAAAAAGTTAGTTCCCTCTTCCCACTGCAAAAACAGAATAAAAAGAAGCTATGGAATCTTCAATAGCATAACCTCTGTTATCATGCTTAATAAATATTTTCATAAGTAAGCAGACAATAAGGCTGCCTCTAGGAGCACACACAGTACTCTAAAGAACAAGAACAAACCAACCCCTATGCTTACCGAAACTGCTGTATATTCTACTTTCACGGCCGCAGGGTTTTTAAAAACACTTATTCAGAAGCTTTTTGTACGTTATTTCCGGGGGGGGGGGGGGCGGGGAGGAAACCAAAACAAAACCCAACCAACCAAGAAAGCCGTCAGGACACAAGGACGGTTAGAAATAAAGCCAAGGAGCTGACCCCGCCTCCGAGGACCGCCGCAAAGCAGCAGCACCAAAAACAACCCTCCACGCCCTGGGGGCCCGCTGGCAGCCCGCAAGCCCGACCCCCGCACCGCCCCTCCCAGGGCCCCGCTCCTTCCTGAAGCCTCTGAGGAGAGAAGCGGCTCGTCCCGCCCGCCACGACGCGCTCCCGTGGCACAGGGCGGCCGCGGGCCCCGCACCCGGCTCCCTCTCCTCAGCCCCGGGGCCGACCGTTGAGGAGGTGTGGGGGGGGGGGGGGGGGGGGCGGGGGGTGTTGGTAACGGCCGTCGCGCGCCAGCCCCGCGCGGACCGCCCGCCCCTGGCGCGGACGTGACGCCCCTCACGCTGAGCCGGAACACCCGCCCGGCGGCCGGCGCCCAGGGCAGCCCCGCGCATGCGCCGCCGAGCCCCGTTTCCACCCCCCCCCCCCCCCGAGGGCCAACCCTCCCGCGGGGCTCTGGGCCCTTGGTGCTGGCGGCGGCGCGTACTTCACCCCCACGCCGGGACCCCCCAGCCTGCCCCTGCGTGATGGCAGCTCAGGTCTGGCGGTGCACCAGCGCCGAATTTCAGCAGGTGACTGCCATGAACGGCAGCCCGAGAGAGGGGCGGTCGCCTTACTCTGCAGGGGGAGAGGCGGCCCGACATCCACCACTGCCCTGAGCAGCTCCTGCAGCAAACGCGGTCGAAACCACATCCTCGGCTCAGAAAGTGACCCTAAACGCTAATCCAACAGACTACTGATCTCAGAAACCAGCTACGGAACCCAGGCAGTGCAAAACCAAGCTTACTCTAGAAGAATGGTAACGATTAATGAAATGCACGATAGGTACACAGGTAAAAAACACAGCAGTGGCAACCAAATCTTTTTCCAAGTCTCTCTTTGGAGATACACTCAAGACTCATTTCTAGTCATTTTGTGAATACACAAACTTCCAGGCTGATGTAGTAGGTGTCTTTGCCTTGTCCTTGCTAACAAGGAATGTTGCAAATCATCAGTTCAGTCCTGATCTGAAATCTTAAAAATGGCCACTTGGAATCTGTGGCACAACAATTTACTATTCCCTGATATTACAGACAGCAGAAAGCGAGAAGAAATACTTAAACCCCCAAACGTGTTTATTAAATCATATTTCTTTTCAGTCTTCATTCTGCCAAGTTAAACAAACCTGATTTTCAAAATTTCCTCTCATGGAAGGGTGATTTGTTGTGGGGTTTTTTTTAGAAATTAATTTTTTCTCTGGTCATCTTAGCATCCCTTTTCTGCATGTCTTCTTGTTGAAGTACATGCATTTATTTCCAATAAACAGAAACGCACACAATTCACTGGCTGAGCTGCCACTAGCGCCTTAGAATGATACCAGCACTTTTCTAGAATGCTTTAGACTTGTTCACAGTCCTATCAGATTGGCAGTGCAACTGATGGACTGTATAAAATAACAAAAAGTCTTGTTCTTCACTGCTGAATGCACGATTTAATCTCATTCCTATTATTCCGGTCCACAGGATTATCATACATAGAGAACTGAACAATCCACTCTGAAGAGTTGAGAAAACATGCAGTTTTGCGTCTGTATCAGCATGTGATGAAACCACAGAGAGAGAACAATTCCATTTTCAAATAGCCTTGTGTCATCTTTTTGTTTACCCACATCTTTATTCAGGAGTTAGCATGTATCACTATTTCTTCCTTAAACAAGTTTTCTAAGTCTCTCTGTTTCAAGTGCTGTGCTTAAACTGAGGTAGCACATCCCTGCTATTATTTTAATAACAGTGGCAACAACAAAAAAGCCATTCTGCTATGATTTCATCACAGATCATTGATCCTGCATTTTACTCCGCTTTGTGTGCTTTCATCTTGAATACTCTTGTCATTGACCTTGTTGCAAGAACTAGATGAAAGGGTACACAAAATTGCACGTTTTGTCAATGCTGAAGAGGAGAGTGGATTGTTCAGTTCTCTATGATAATCTCATGGACCGGAATAATAGGAATGAGATTAAATCGTGCATTCAGCAGTTAAGAACAAAACTTTGGCTGTTTTATACAGTTCATCAGTTACACTGCCAATCTGATATGACCATGAACAAGCACGTATGTGTTGAGTAGTCTTCCATTTTCAAGACCCTGCACACTGGTAAGGTGTGGAAATCCAAATTGTTCAAGCCACCGTGTTTTTTCTATTTTTCCCTCAACTCCGTTTGAGCCTTACCACAACTTTCCAGGTTCAGCAGCCTACAAAGGGACGAGTCCAACAGCTCAGCAGATTCACGTGCTGGTGAGGAGCCATAAGGTTGTTAGAGGTGCCTGAGAATCTGGAAAAAGAAATTTGTTCATTGAGCTTTGGCTGAGGCTTACAAGAGAACATCTGAAGAAAGAGGAAGAAAAATTAATCTTAATCAACGATGGTTAATATTTGTGTAACATTTTTAAAAACAAGGGAGCTGAAGTTTCTTCACAAGCCTTACAGCAGTGACTTTAACATTTTCTTGTTGGTATGAACTGAGCTATTAGTGAGAAATGGCATCAACCATTACCAGGAAAGTTTTCTACTGCTTAGGCAAAAGTTTTGTAATTGTTCGTGATGAACTGCCTGGTATAAAATGACATATAAAGGGGACAGATAAAAAAATATTTTCTTATAAAAGCCATTAGCTTTTCTGTAAATGTTCACATTTCTTAGAAAATAAAAATAAAATTACTATATGGGCAAACCCCCCCAAACATTATTCATATAGACTACTGGTTGTAAAAGCAAGTTAAATAATGTTCTCCAAGAAGGATTTGTTGTTAAAATTATAAACCTGGAAGGGCAAGTCACTTGCCAGTAAAATACTAATTTTCCCTTCAATTAAGAAAATATTTAAAAGCTCGGCTTAAAGACTGTGTTTTTCTCCATGGCCACCAATGACTCATGATATCAAAATATTTCTCATGTAGTTCATTACTGCACAGCTGAAAAGGATATCATTAATTGCCTCCTGATTATTTCCAATACAGCAATGAAACCATGGCAAGTATATTAGTAAGCATAAGAAGTATACAAGGTACCCTAATTCCCATCTACTTTTTGCTTAAGGAAAGGCTTGATTTGCTGTGATTTCTAAATTCTGTAGGAGTTGACAAAGACAGAAGCAGAGGACTGACACTTTTCAGGTCCTCCTTTCCTCCACCCCAGTGTCCTAAAGATTCATTAGGTTGGTCTGAAATTAGTACAGTCTTATACACCAAGAAGTGAATACCTTAGTTCAAAAGGTGAAGCATACACTGGGGCAAGGAATGAATGATGAACGCATAACTGTTTACCATTGTAGATGAACATGAAGGGTAAAAACATAATCTTTCATGCATTCAAGTGTTTTTCCCTGCATCTCCAACAGCATCGGTGCTCAGCAGTCTTTGTCTCAACATCCCTATGCTGTGTGCTTCACAAGCAGGTGAAAACTACAATTGGTGGAAGTGAGACAGTGGGTAGAATTGTCCATAGGAACATAACATTGCAGCAAAACATATTAAGACACATTTTTGGTTCCAGGATGACACTTAGGGTCAAGATGAAGAGGAAGACCAAGCCCACAATAAATCTGATAATTGGGATTCAAGACTGAGATACAGGAAAACCTAAGTGCTTCCAGTTCAGAGCAAACACATGGTATGAACAGGGAAGCCTGTTTCCTGCAGTCCACCTAAGCACCTTAAATATGAAGCTATCGTTTATCAAGCGGGAAGTTTCTGCTTCTCTGGTACTGGTATGCATGTCTGTGTGTGCATACTGTGTTTGCATGCATACTCTCCAACATGCCCACAAAAGCAAGACGTTGGTCTTCCTATAATGCAAAATTGTTTAGTGATTTAAATGTCCCATTTTTCCAGGCAGCTGTAGCAGATGGGAGTGAAAATGACAAAGAGGAAAGATTATGTGTTATATGATCAACCCATCCAGAAATGTAGTAATACAACATTTTAAAAGGCTGGCAAACTAACTTAGAAAGGGCTTGTTAAAAAGCACGTTAGATCATATTGGGTATTGTTGCTTTATACTACAAAATAAACACCTTTATACTAGTACACTCTACTTTTACAAAGCTTATGCTAATGCTACAAAATACTGTGCCATGGAATTAAAATTAAAGAATAATCTTTAAATAAGACAAAAGGGCAAACAAAAGAACCCCAAACTCCAAACAAAACAAAAAAAAGTTACAATCATAACTGATGCAGCTGCATGGGGAAAATTAGAATACAGAACATGAAAAGCAGTAAAATATTTCTTTCTAACACCAGCTAATAGCAGTCTAGAAGGGACACTGGGAATCTTTCTGTCCAGAAGTTGGTATTTTTATCTAATTGCTTTCCAAATTAGGCCCATTTTTAGAAAAAAAAATGTTATGTTCCAAGAGTGACCCTATCTCGACACATCATTATATTATGGTACAAGAAGATGTTCCACCAGCACTTCCTCCCCGCCCCCTCTCACCTCCCAAGTGGCAGTTAAGCATTAATTAGTTCTCTGAAAACTAGTGTTTAGCACATAGAAATAAACTTGAGAAATAATTCGTGTGACTCTCTCCTTCAGGATCACTTCCTTCTTTTGGCCAGAAGGGGAAGCTAGCGCTATGTATTTTTGTCATGCAGCTTGAGTGTACTCTGAACACTGAGGAATTCAGGATTACTTCATCATCACAATCATAAATCTACCTTGTTTGGCCACGGCAGAATATTAACAACCCGAGGAACTTAAACACATTGAACATTTATTTAGAGTGCATTCAGTAGATTTCAGAATGTAAAATACTAAAGTCACACCTCTGCCAGCATGAATTCCATCTCCGTTTTGTTTTGGAGAGTTACTCACAGAAGGCTTGCAGCGAGTGGCTGTAACCCTATTTAGAAGTCCTTTACAGTGAGTTTCTGACTTCCCAGCAGAATTTTGCTGTTGCCCTCTCTATGGTTGCTGCAGTTAAGTCAGGGATCCCTGCATAACATAGGGCTTATGTAGGAATGTCATCTTATTTCCCACCTAAAGCATAAACAAAATACAAAGCATAAATTTTAACCAGCAGTTTTGTTTGTGTTAAGACAACTATACAGAGTATCAGTGTGGGGAACAAACTGAAAACTTCATGTGAAAGATAAGAAGAGTTGCCTTGTTGCATAAAGCAATGTTAAAGGACTTTATGCTTCATTGTTGAGAATGAAGAAATCTGCAGATGACTCGTGGTCATCAGCATCGTTCATCCTTTTTAGACCAGATTCAACTGTATTTGTGATGTTTTGCAATTTTAGTAGAGGAGACAGTCTGAACAACTGAGGTTTTTCTTTCTGATCAACTATTCTATTTCAGCT